AATGTGAAGGTAAAAATGTCCCACATTAGAAAGTTAGAAAACCTTGCAAGGGCTTATAAGGAGTTGGGCTACTCCCCCCATTGCTAATTGGTTTTGGGGTGGAACCTCAACTTCCTTCAACGTGCATGAAGTTACTTACTGCTACCATTTTTTTTCTTCTTAAATGTCTCAAATGTAAGGGTAAACTGTTTTTAACTAATTGAGCTACAACTGCTGTGGTTTGAAAGCTCCCAGCGGCATCCAATGAATATTTATGTAAACCCCTTCTCCCCCAAATCGTTTGTACTGAAAAACTTACTTGAGCTATAACCTCATTGTTGTGCTTTTTCTTTTCCTTTTCTTTTGAATTACATTTGGTGATCAATTAGCTTAATTTTGGAGTTGGTCCCCATTGGGAGGTTAAGAATCACTACAGTGCTGGAGTAGAGCTACAAGACAAGAGAAGTTTCCTTCAATGAACGGGTGTAGTGCAAGCAAGGCTGACGGCGGAAGAAGCACAAAAGATGGCTAGTGTGGAAGGAAGGTGTACTGTGTTTGTTTTTCCCGCTTCAGCGGAAAGAAGCAGCTCCGTCTCCACACAACACAACAAGGTCATGGCAACTTTCGTGGTTTCCCTGAAACAGTGTCCAACAATATCAACAAAAAGCGATATCATCGTAGCGTAGAAGTGTTTGAAAAATTCTGAAATGCGAATATATTGCTGCAATGATTTGGTGCAACTATTCTGAAGAACGTTTTTAAAATCATGTATTGGCTGAAAATTATATATATAGATGCTGGTAAAATGACTTTACTACATATATATATTATTCATATCTTCTTCTTATCCGCATGGGGATTTTTTTTTCATTTTTAATTTTTTTTTTTTAATGAGCTAAGGGGGCCAAGACCTAGAAACAATACTTAAATAAGATTAATACAGACTAGACGGGTTATGTGAACCCCAGCACTATCATCTGCGAGAGTTGAGCCCACCCACTCAGGGGCATTATCAAAGAGATGAACTCCCAGATCACCATTGTAACTTGAATTTGCTAAACAGTCGACAACACAGTTCTTCTCATGATAAATATATCTGACAACACAGTTATTGATTTTATCCATGTATTCCTTGCAGCTATAGATCACACCAGCAAGAGGGTGGAAATTAATGATATCAGGAGATTGAATAAGCTCTACAGTAGTTGCTAAATCCATTTCCACAATGAGGTTAGATATCCCAAGATCAGCTGCAAGCTTAAGATGTTTGTGTTAACGCAGCTTTCCTTTCCTAGCCTACACAGAAGTCAACTTCACAATCTCCTCCTACCAATTAGCCTTTCCTGCTATAAATTGAATTGTATTCATGTCTATATTATTTCCTACCTTAAGTAGATATCTTGTACTAGCATAAATAGGGACTTTGTGTAATCTATCAAATACAAGGAAATATATTTTCTACATGGTATCAGCCTAACCTAGGGTTTCCTCCCTCTCCCTTATTCGATCCAATCCTCCTCTAGGTCCACCTCATGGCTTCGTTTGAATCCACCATCTCCCTCCCTAGCCCAAACTCTTCTCATTTTATCAAGCTTACTGACTCCAACTATCTTCTTTGGCTCCGCCAACTCAAACCTTTTTTTGTCGGTCATGACCTCTGGAAATTTATCGATGGCACTCATAAACAACCTTCTGCACAAACCTCCACTTCTTCCACTTCTTCCACCGAAACATCCACAACCACCACCGCCACTCTTACCCAAACCAATCCTGCCCATGCTCAGTGGTACCAACAAGACCAACTCATTGTTAGCTACATCACTAGTACACTCTCTGAGTCTATTCTCTCTCTCACCGTTGGCTGCACCTCTACCCAAGATCTCTGGGAATGTCTCCAACGCCACTTCTCTCAATCCAGTATGGCCAACGAATATGCTCTTCATTTTCAACTTATGGATTTGCAAAAAAGCTCTCAACCCATTGATGCTTACCTTCGTCATGCTAAGTCCCTTGCCGATTCACTGGCTGCCATCAATGAACCTATCTCCCCAAAAGAACTTGTCAATAGGGGAAAGTTGATATATACAATAGGGGCCAATGGCCATAGACAGACAATTCCAATCCAATACCTATATGGGATAGGAGCGTAAGTGCTTTTGCTTTTTGTTAGCTGTAATTTTTCCCTGTATTGGTCCAAAAAAGAAGTCTTAATAAGTTAATCAACTTGTATATTTTGGTTTAAAAGAATTCCTGAATATGCAATCTTTTGCATATCAGCTTGCCATTAGTATGAGCTTTGCAGTCAATATCAACTCATTTTATTGTGACTGATCATTTCACTTAACTTGACAGAGCAATAAAGGGAAGTATTTTCTGCAGCAAATAGAATTATTTTCCAATTTTCCTATAAGTGACCAATCTGCATCCTAGAAGAAAGTAAAGTGAAAGTAAGTCCAAAAAGGAGGACGAATGTCTTTAATTGTTACAATCTGCTAATTTTCTACAATTTCCTTGCTTTGATTTTGATTTGGCTTATGTTCAGTTTCAAGTTTACTCTTTTAGCAGTGGGTAGTTATCATTTTAATATTTGGGGATTCTTACTAATATTGTTTCCTTTCCTGGAATTTATTCCACTTTTACAGGCTTTATTATAGAAATTGAAATTCTCTTTATGTGCTGGAATAATTTCAAAATGGTTGCTTATAATGCTTACAGATTGATCCTAGAAGCTCATCAACATCTAATGTAGTTTTAAGTATTGCAATTTTCTTGACACTGTATAGAGCATTACTCACTGCTTCCAACAATATTGTTTGTCTATTATTTTGCTCTTGCATAGATGTTTAAATATTTTGAATGATCTGTCTTAGTGTCTATGTCTGCACATATAATTCAACTTTCATTAATTGGGTCACAAATGAGTATGCTTAGGAACCTTGGCCTGAATGTTGTCAAGGCCAATGTCTATTTGGATTCTTCTGGAAAGCACAAGAAGTTTGCCATCACCAGAGCGTGAGTATGCTTTACAGATAGATGACATCGTGGCCTTGTATTAAGTCTAGTTTTGGGTTGTTTCTATACTATTGTTAATACTTGTCAATTTGCAATTGATTGCAATGATCTCTTTTCTGCTTGTTCTGCTTCTCCGTCTGGCTTTAATTTTCTTTTCCTTGTTGTGCATAGATACTTCCATACTTGTGGTATTATTGATTGCTGATTAGATTTATGTACTGCCATAGTGCTGACTTCAATTCAGGTATGATATATTCATATTATATCATCGTTTTCTTTACTAAAGAGGTTCTATATGATGAAGTTCATCCTTATTTCATGTGTTTCTAATGCAAAGTTATGGCACCTGAAAATTAGGGGGAAGCAGTATTCCTTTGTTGTCCAGGAATCAAGTTCCCAGTTAGCGATGGGAACAGCACTTGGAATTGTGCCACCACAAGAACAGGTTATGGTGACGGTACTTTGCCAATTATGCCAATTGTGCTCTACTGTCATTCTAGAGCTGCATAGATCTTTTTGCTAAGGTTAGGTTGTTGCTAAACAAGTTTATGTTTAAGAGTATTGGGGTCTCTTTCGTGCAGGTCTTTTCGACACCAACAACTTGGAAAACGTGCAAGAAGGCAAAGCTAAGTCAACCCAAGAACAAATTGATGAAGTTAACATCAAATAAGTAGAATTTGTGAGCTCCATTATTTCTAATTATAGGTAGGAAGTATGTATGTAATAGAATAAAGATTGGTTGACTATGTAATAACTATTGAATCTTTAAGTTTTATGAAAGAAATAATTTTTGAGTGTAAATATTCATTAATAAAGCATTATAATTGGTTTTCTAGTTAAAATCGTTGTATATAATCATAGGAAACAAAAAACTAAAATGTAACAGCTTGGGAACTTATTAGACGACATATTTAAAGATAATAAAAGGATGGTTTTATTGGAAAAACCGTCTTTTGTACATATTATCAATGAACTCTTTTAACACCATACCGTCTTCTTTATATACAATCAACGACGCTTTTTAACAAATACCGACGTCTTTACAACCAAACAACGATTGTTTTACTAAAAAAATTGTCGTCTTTACATCTAATAGACGACAGTTCTTTCAAAAAACCGTCGTCTTTACATCTAGTAGACGACAGTTCTTTCAAAAAAACTGTCGTCTTTACATCTAATAGACAACGGCAATTTGCTGTCGTGGTTTTATGCATCAAAAGATGTCGGTCGATTTCACGACTGTTGAAAAATCGGATACACGACGGTGGATTACCGTCGTCTATTGCGATTTTTGTAGTAGTGGGGATAATT